CTGCTCTGTGAGAAATACTGTGAAGAGAATGAGAATACAAGCCACAGACTGGGAGAAAAATCTTTGCAAAAGATGTATCTGATAGAGAATTCTCATCTAAAATACAAAGCACTCTTAAAACTCAACACTAAGGAAATGAAGAAACTGACTAAAAGATAAGCAAAAGATCTGAACAGATGCCTCACCACAGAAGATGGTAAATAAGCATATGAAAAGATACTCAACATTGTATGTCATCAGAGAATGAGATACCCACCACACACCTGTTAAAAGACTAAAGACCAAAACACTAACAATACGAAATGCTGTTGAGGATGCAGACCAACAGGAGCTCTCATTCATAGCTCGTGGGAATGCAAAATGGTACAGCCACTTTGGAAGACAATTTTGCAGTTTCTCATGAAACTAAACATACTTTTGCCATACAAGATAGCTATGGATACATAAAAAAATTAGTGATTGCCAGGTGTTGGGGAGGAAGGAGGGATAAATAGGTGAAGAATGAGGATTTTTAGGGAATTGAAATTAATCTGTACGATACTGAAATGGTGGATACAAGTCATTACACATTTCCAAACCCATAGACTATGCAACACCAACAGTGAACCCTAATGTAAACTTTGGACTTTGGATGATAATATGTCAATGTAGGTTTATCAATTGTAACAAATGTACCACTTTGACAAGGGATGTTGGTAAGTGGGGAAGTTGGTGTCTGTATGGGGCAGGGGTGGGTATATGGAAACTCTTTATGCTTTTCTCTTAATTTTGCTGCAAACCTAAAACTGTTCTAAAAAATAAAATCTATTTTAAAAAATAGTAATAGAAATATTGGAGTGTATCTCTATAAATCCTTCAAACGACTAGAGATTTCTCACACTCCGTGTTCTAGTACATTCACATCTCTAACACATTTTCACTGTGTCACAAGTGATTTGTTTCATTAATAACTAACATATTAACATTTCTGAGTGGTTTGATTTCTGTAAATGTAAAGTGAATTAAAGATTTTTCTGTTATAATCTAAATTTAATATCTTAAATGTAACATTATAACTTATAATTGATAGAGAAAGGTAAGTGTAAAGTTATGTTTAGTGAATGGAATTATACATAACTGAAGTTCCATTAATAATCCAGTGATTAAGAATTATTTCTTAATTTTTTCCTTCTCCACAAATGCGAGAGCTACAATAGATATTGTGGATGTTCATCACCAGTATTCATGTTGCCTCCTCTTCTGGCCGGGTAGAAAACTGCATTTTTTGGCATCCCCGTAGTCAATAATCTTCAAGTAAGATAAATGCAAAGAGATCTACACTCTGACACATCATAATAAAAATGTTGAAAGACAAAGTCTTTTTTTCTTTTTTTAAAGATTGGTACCTGAGCTAACAACTGTTGCCAATCTTCTTTTTTCTTTCTTTTTTTTCTGCTTTTTCTCCCCAAATCCCCCAAGTACATACCTGTATATCTCAGTTGTGTGTCCTTCTAGTTGTGCTATGTGGGATGCCACCTCAACGTGGTGTGGCCTTATGAGCGGTGCCGTGTCCGCACCCAGGATTCGAGCTAGCGAAACCCTGGGCCGCAGAAGCGGAGCACGTGAACTCAACCACTCGGCCACAGGGACAGCCCCAAAGAGAAAGTCTTGAAAGCAGTAAGAAAATAATGAGTCATTATATACAAGGAAACTCTGATTTAAAAATTAGTTGCATAAAACATAAGCATTCAGTGGTATTGCTGGGTGTATAACAAATAGAAATGCAATATATTTGGCAATAACAGCAGAAGAGAGTGGGTGGGAGTAAAACTGTATTAGAGTAAGGAGATGATATAAGAAAGTAACTTGAATCCTCATAAATAAATGACTAAATAAATAAATGGTGAATAAAAAGGCTAACAAAACAAACGCTATAAATATATACATGTTCTTCTCTAAGCTTTTTTAAAAGACAAAATTTTATAAACATAGAAATATAATTTTGGATTTGTGACATTTATTAACGTAATATGTATAACAATAATAACACAAAAAGGGGAAAGAGGAAGCAGAGCTATATAGAAGTAATAGTTTAATCTCTCACTGGAATTAAGTTAATATAAGCCTAATGTAGATTCTGATAATATGTACATGTAAACCTAGAACAACCACTAAGAAAATAACTAAAAAAATCCCAAAAAATACAAGGAAAAATCATCAAAGGAATTAAAATGTTACCCTAGAAAATATTCACTTAATGAAAAGTACAGCAATAAAGGAGGAATAGAGAAACAAAATAGATATGACACATCTATAAAACAGGAAGTAAACTAGTAGCAGATATAAATCCAACTATATCTATTGTGACAGTAAATGTGAATGGATTAAAAATTCAATCAGAAGACAAACATTTTCACATAGAATTCTAAAACATTAACTAATATACCATCCACAGGTGACACACTGTAGGTTCAAAGATTGATAGATTGAAAGCAAAGGATGGAAAATGATGTATTATGCAAATAATAACCAAGAAAAAAGCTGGAATATCAGTACTATTATCAGAAAAAGTAAATTTTAAAGCAGAAAATGCAAGTCCTACAAGATATCGAGGGGGATTTCCTTTTTTGAGGAAGATTAGCCCTGAGCTAACATCTGTGCTCATCTTCCTCTCCTCCACATGTGGGACGCCTGTGACAGCATGGCTTGATAAGCAGTGTGTAGGTCCACACCCGAGATCCAAACCGGTGAACCCCAGGCCGTTGAAGCAGAAACTGCAAACTTAACCACTGTGCCACTGGACTGGCCCCTAAAGGGGGACATTTTTAGATAATAAACGTGTTAATTCATTAGAAAAATGTAAGTTATAAACACATAGCACCTAACAATAGAGCCCTAAAAAGCATAAAGCAAAAGCTGACAGTGTTGAATAAGAAATAGACAATTCCACAATAACAGAGACTTCAATACTCCTCTCAATAATGGGTAGAACTAGGGAAGAGATCAACAAATATGTCCACATCAATAATCATCTTGGCTAATCTGTGGTTTTATTCTTTTCCCTCCTATCTACCACTTCTAGAATCCAGTCTCACATATATTCTTCAGGTTTCTGATATTACTTAGGAAAATCTAGGAATTCTCTTCTCAGTTCAGACTTTGTTTCCGAGGGCATTAGAGGTCTGGCTCTGATTTAGGACTTGATACAGAAACATGGGGTAAGAACGGACAAGGAATAGGGGGGTGTGTGTTGTTTTGCAAGGGAAATACCTAAGGTAAAGTAATTGCTGGTCTTCAAACAAGATAGGATTAGTCATAATAGTCATGGAAAAAGGAGATGCTTCTGTGGCCAAGATGTGTAGACTCATCTGAATTCATCCAGATGCCTTCACTACAATTATCTAGGTCTCAGTCTTTCTAATAGTACATCTGGAAAGGTTGTGAATTCAACTTACGTTTTAATTCAATAGTTGCCGTATCAGACTTCTTTGTCTGTTTTCGGTTTTATTTTTCAGCAATATTTTTTAAAAAATGTAAGATCTTGTAGGGTACTCATAAAAAAAAAAAGTCTGGTCCTCAAAATTTGCTTTGAAATGAGAACCTAAAACCTGGAGCTTGTTATTTTCTTTCTTTACTTAGTTAGGTTCCATCACCAGCAGCCATTTAATCTCAATTCTGGTACAAAATACTCCATCATTCATGGATCAGTGTCAGGAAGAAAAAAGACTCTAGATATTTTAAATAGGAAAGTAATTAAAATAGATATTTTTGTGTTTACAAAATTAATGGGAGTCCTGAAAGAGAAAGTTCTAGACTGAATCTTCTGAGAATGATTCATCAATTAGCAGAATTGCTCCAACGAGGCTTCCATTAGAGCTATACCTACTGCTACAAGTGGCAATCACTTCTGATACAACTGTCACTCCCATCCAGGAAGCTAGAGAATGGACAGTGGCATGAATGTTGCTATAGATTGGCTTCATGTTTCCCCAATACTGCTTACCAGACATGTGAGCCAGGAGTGGTAGGAAAATGTCTTGGGACTCAACTCCATCTTGCAAATCTCATACTAGTACATCCACTTGTTGGAAAATAATTAATAGATCCAAGAGAATCCAAAAATGTCTCTATTTCCAGTCTCTCCCTATAGACAAAAACTAGAATGGTCGGTAACTTTATGCCTAATCCAGAATATCCAGGAAATAAATGCAATCTATATATCATAGCAATTTTATTCCTTTATAATTCATTTAAAAATACACATGAACTATAGCTTTTTTAATGGTCATTTCTTTTGCTTCTGGAACTCATATTTCCACACAATTTCCCTCATAGAATTTGGTCATATATTGTATAAATTTATAATATAATCTTTGTAATTGTTACATGTTTATATTTCTCTGCAACACATTCATGCATATAAAATGAATTCTAAAATACATGCAATTACCGTGATGCTTTAGAGTGTCATATTGAATAATTATTCTAAATTATGTTATTATTGCAGTTTTTATTGAGTTCTTATTTAATCCAAGCAACAAAATATGTCTTGATGTTGAAATTCAATTATCAAATTAAAAAAATTATATAAGGGAAGCATTTATAATGGGGTAGGCAGATCTGTTTAAAAACTATTTTATGTATAAATCATTTAGTATTTTTTAATGTTAGAATAAAACATCATTCAGTGATTCTTAATAACAAAATGGAAAGAAGGTATGGGCACTGTTCTGGTTGGGTCTTACAGTAGGTGCATTAATGATTTTTGCTAAGTAAATTATTTCCATTGAATCTGCAACAGTGAAACTCCAATGCATTTCTATTAATCTAAATCCAACAAACTCATGTTGATAATGAATAAATGTGAAGAGAAATAGTCCAGGAATGACACGGACAAGTAGTCTTTTTCCAAAGAGAAAACAAATTCATATTTCAATAAACTTGTGGAAAAAGTTATGAAAATATGACTAAGAAAAAAATGTTAAAGAAAATATATTAGTTCTTATTTGAAAATGCAATTATAATATTTTGGATTTAAATCTGGATTCTTTTGGGGAGGGGGTTGAGGAAGATTGACCCTGAGCTGACATCTGTGCCCATCTTCCCCTATTTTGTATGTGGGACCCTGCCACAGCATGTCTTGATGAGTGGTGTGTAGTCTGTGCCCCGGACCTGAACACACACACCCTGGGCCCCCCAGGTGGAAACGTGAACTTAACTGCTATTCCACCAGGCTGGCCCCTAAATATGGATTTTAACCACCTCGTCTTTGAAATGTTCAGCAGAGACACAGGTGAATGAAAGTGTTCACCAAGCCTTTTCTCATTGCTCAGAACAGTGAAAATTCAGAAAGACTGTATGTTAGCAGTTTGTTGTTTCCCAGCATGCTTTTTACAAAATTTTGAATATTTGGATACTAAGATGGGGAGATACTTGCTTAATCAGCATCGTGCATTTGTTACTTGATTGACATAATCTTCTGACACCCACAACTTCATTGGACCACTCATTGCTTTGTCTCACAGGAGCTATGCATTACAACAGAGGACAGAACAGAGAAGTTCATTAACATGAAAACAGCCTCTTACCTCTCATGGCCGTGGAGAATGAAAGCATGTTTGCCAAATAAGCAAATGAGTTTGTGCTGATTTTCATGGTAAAGCCCTTTCATTTTATGGCTTACTGTCCTCCTGTACCCAGGAAAGCAGGGTACGTGCTTGTACGTGTAGAAAATGAGTAGACTGAATTCATGTCAAGAACAGTAGATGATACATACTTCTCAAAGCAAATGACTCTAAAGGAAAAAAATCTCATTAAGTATATTTTTAATCAGAGATCAACGGGTATCTAGGGTTTTCAATGTACTTAATCTCAAGAAAATCACGAGACAAAATTCTATTTTGTTTTAGTAGTAGGATTTGCTTCCAGTTTCTAGGTTACATCAGAAAATTATCATCTTCAGAACACAGCAGTTTTAATATTTTGTTCATTCTATCTAAGTGAGAACAAAGTTTAATTCAGAAATTACAGAAAGACTACTTTTTGTTTTTGATATATCTATGAAGTTTTTCTTCTAAGTGCACAGCTATTTTTGGCACATGAACAAATATATTTCAGTTCTGTAATCTTTTAATCTTAAAAATGGACTTTTGAACATGTAGCAGCTAAACGCTTCATTGTACACCCTCACACATAATCACATAATCCATTGGCAGACACAGAAGCGGAATTGAATAACATTTTGTAGGGTTAATTTGGTTTCTGGAAAATGCTGAAAATTGTAACTAGTTTTTTTGTGTGTGTGGCTATTTTAAGAATACATTTGTATGTGTTTGAAACAATTTTGCAGTGTTGTGCTTTTATAGAAAATGCTGAAAAGAAGCTTGTGTGTATACGTGTGGGAGTGGGTTTGGATGTGTATGTGTTTTGGCACACATATGAAAGTATCCATAGTTTTAAAGCTTCTAAAATTTGTAATAAATGAGTGTATATCACTATAATTCTATAAATTCACTTTCATTCAAAAATATCTAAATACTGTTATTCATTTTGATTTTTAAACTTCATGAATATTTTCCATGTGTAAAAGTAATAATTTTACAGAATTGTGGAATTGTGGAAAATCATAAAAAGAAAAAATGCCTATTATTCTACTGTATATTCATAACCACTAATAACATTTGGATGAAGATCTGTCCAGAACTTTTGCAGAGAACATGTTTATTGACATGTAATAGAAACTCAGAGGAGGCAATGTAGGCTGAAATGAAGAATTTATACACAGATCCAAGGTTTCTGTTGAGTTAAGCTCCAGACCGCGGCCAGGGCTCAGACGCCGGCTGGATTTGTGGACGGGAACGCCGCAGGATCTTTTTTTCCAACCTCTGATTTTTGCTCCTCTCTGAGTGTTGGCTTTGTCGATCTCTTTTCCTCCAGAACATCTTTCTGTTGTCCAGGGCACATAGCAGGTATTTTTTCTTACAAGTTTATACATCACAGAGATAACTATGGATGAAATTTCCCTCTCTCTAAGACAGTTTAAGAAAGATGTAATTGGTCCAGACTGGCCAAGATGCTCATGGCTGCCTGGACCAATCAGCTGTGGTTGGGATAAGGGGGAGGTTCTGGGATCTATAAACAGGGCATCCTGGAAAGGAAACCAAGCATTTGGGTGGAGGGATACCTGCCTAAAAAGGGCGGTTCATTTTCTGCTAGGAAATAACTCAATATATGCCTTCGGTAATTATTTAATTTTTAACAACCTCAAAAATAGGAAAATATTGTATTTTTTCAATTAACAGTATGTTCTTAACATATTTCTGTCTCAGTTAATATTTTCACATCATTTTATTAAGCACACAGGATTTTACTGTATGAATATTGACATTAGTTAATCAGTTCTATATTTGGCATGTGGGGTACTTAGAATTTACATGCTGTAGGGAATATTTTCACATAGCCGTGATTATTTTCTTAAGATAAATGCACAGATGGTACAGTTGATAGATGAAAGGGTACACATATTTTTACAGATTTATATATTATAAAATATCTCCCCTCAAGCAGAAATGTTCTGACAATTTGTTTTCTCACCAGTATTTACTAGAGACCTCTTCCCTGACTCATACACTGAAACTGTTATTATAAAAACCCCCTTCATCTTAATGTGATATATCTTTGACGATATCTGTTTGAAGCAGACATTTTCCTTATTATCTGGCCTTAAAAAAGTTGTGTTATTTTTCTCAGAATCTAGAAAAGAGGTATTTTTCCTTGGCTCCCTGTTTTATTTCTACAGCTGGATAGCATGTAACTATTTGGACGAAATGTGTGCACGTTCAAATAACAGGACTTTCTCTTGTAGTACTTGCCAAAATAATGAAAATTCAGAAGTAAACTTTCTCTCTGCTTTACTGTTTATCTGTTAGGGACAAAATGACTTTTACAAGCTTCTTTAATTGTTAAACATCTTTGTTTAAATACATGAAAGCAACTAGTCATTGATGCGGACCATACTGGTCTTGAGGAGAACTTTTGTAGCAAGAATTTAATCAGATTTCTTTACTTGTCATCATTTGCATCGTTTTATCTGGAGATGTACTCTGTCAAACTATTGATTTAACAATTTGCCACGTTTTATTCTGGAATTGGTTTAGTAAACAGAGTGAGACAAGAATTTAACACTTTTAATTGAATAGAAACATCGGTAGACTGATTTGGTGCAATGTTGATATTTTCCCTATTTTTTGAAATACTCTTATTCCAAATTCATCAGTAAAAGTAGCAATATAGTAATTTACTTACCTTTGTAACGTGTATATAAAAAGAATTTGACATAAATAAACATTTATATGAGAAACAATTTCATTTGAAAAAATCTTTAATATTTTTTAAATCCATGTTATGACTACTATTTAATAGCAAAAGTATCAGTAACACACTTAGTGATTATTGCTATTCTATTAAAATAGCTACTTTGAGATTCAAAAGTGAGCAAGTCATAGAATTGTGAATATTAAGAATCCCAATGAGGGGGCTGGCCCTGTGGCATAGTGGTTAAGTTCGTGTATTCCGCTTCAGCAGCCGAAGGTTCATTGGTTTGGATCCTGGGTGCGGACCTACACACCACTCATCAAGCCATGCTGTGGCGGCACCCCACATAGACTAGCCAGAAGGACTTACAACTAGGATCTACAACTATGTACTGGGGCTTTGTGGGGAAAAAGCAAAAAGGAGGAAGATCGGCAACAGATGTTAGCTCAGGGCCAATCTTCCTCACTAAGAAAAAAAAAGCATATAAAAAGTAGTAGGAAGCAAAATCATGAAAACAAAAAAGAATCACACTGAGAAAGCAGAAGTACTACATTTCCGTTACTACCTTTCCAAAGATTTTAAATTCAAAGCTAATATTCTATATAACTTTGAGATTCTAAGTTTTATTGTTTTGGCATCATAAAATATTTCCTTTGGAAGAGTTTTCCAAAAGCTCCAAGAACTTAAACCTCTCTTTAGAATTCCAAAAATAAGAATTCCAGACTTTTCTGGAGACTTCATCAAGCTGATAGGCTTTCATCTACATAGCGACATTTTGAGAATTTTCAAGAAGTCTCCCCTGGACCCTGTAGTGCTCTAAAATGCATTTTAAAAAGAATTTGGTTTGTTATGTCAGAATTTTTACTTTGTGTAGCATCTAAAAAAATTTCTATAATTTTGGAAATACATCCAAACCCTCAGTGGACTCTCTTTGCAGAAAATTTTGTGCTTGGTTTCATTTTAGTGAAGAAGGTAGCCTGTTAAATGAATTCAGAAGAAATTCTAATATGAGGATTTGGCAGAAATGTTGGCAGCTTGGCATTTCTTTTCATTCTCCCCCACTTTAAAAAAAAAATAACGTGTGCATTTTTCTTCTTTCTGCATCTTCCCGAGTGCATTTATTGTTGTTGCATATGTCTGTGTGCTTGCACATCTGTGTGCATGTGTGTGTCTGTGTGTGTGGAGGGCGGGGAGGGTCATACCGTTGGAGGAGATTTAGGTTTTACCACTCAGGTTTCTCTGAAAGACCAGAATGTTAATACTCCCTCTAGCCTTTTTGTTGCTTTTCCAGGATGCAAAAATGACTGGTAATATGTTGGCTAATTTATACCATCTTTGTGCATCCTGTGATTCATCATGTCAATGCGAATAATCCATAGTCAATCTATAAATCAAAATTGGGGTGAGTTTATTATGAGCCAAGTCTGAGGACTATAGCCCCGGGCCTTCCTTCCCCAAGGAAAGAAGGGCAGCAAAGTGGGATGTGCAGAGTGGTTATATACCATCCTGAAACAAAGAGCATACATCGTGTATGATCGGAATGCTCCTTTTACAATGGTCATGAGATTACTTTGCTGGCACAGCAGATGGGTGAACACAGCAGTTCAGTGGTCACAAGGTCACAGCAGTTCAGTAATTAACCCTTAGTTTAGGGAGAGATTCATTTCCTTAAAGAAATGCCAGTATGGGGGAAGCTACATCCTTGTCTTGAAGGGCATCCTTCTTGTCTTTGGGACATAGTAAATATTTAAAGCAGATGTACAATGCATGCTCAACAGGCCACATCAGGCCCTTTTGGAAAAACGAGGTCAGGCTGGATTAGTTTTAAAGCAAAGGGCTTTCTCACATACTCCAATATAGCCTATCGCTTTTCATTTATTTGTCAATCCCTACCGAGACCTGTAAATCTATTACAGCCAGGGCTGGGAGGCAAAACCTCCAGACGGTTTTTAGACCCCTTTGCCAAAAAGCAAGTAAGGGAAACTTGAGAGTGAGGGAAAAGTCGAAAGTTGTTTTACCAATGCAGTTTATTCGTGTATGAAAAACACCAGGAAGTGGCCAGATATCTAGATGAAGGGACTCTGACATACTTCCAGTTTGTTAATGATCATAATTCTGTGATTCTGAGTCATAGAGCCTGAGCTGAGTCACTCAGGACAAAGAATTAGTAAATGACAAAACAGTGCATAATGTTTACGCTTCATCACCCTATCAAGCAAGCATCCAAAAACAGACCTCATCCACCACTCAGATGTTCTAAAATTGGATGGAAAGGAGGTAATGTTTATTGATTATCTGCCATTTTTGAGTTAAAATGCTGAGTAATAGGGAAGCTACCACCCTCATATTTTATTTAAGACTTTTTTTATTTAAGAGATTACATCCTTAACTTCCTTACTACATCATTCCCCGACACTTTTTACAAGCATAACTTTTTAATTAGCGAGACATGATTTTCCCATTTGATAGACACGCTGGTTT